TTAGGGTTTGGGTACGGTGAGTTCCAGAAATTGTGCCCGTCCGTGGGTGGTCGCTGCCTCGATCCGCTGTTTTGGCGCCCTCGACCACGACCCCGGTTGCCGTTGCCGCGCCCTTGTCCGCGTCCAAAGCCACCACGCTGCCCGGAGGAGGAACCATCACCATAGTTGCTGCCAAAAAGGTGTCCCCCGCTGCTAGAGTTGCTGCCGTGAGGAGAGCCGCGCCCGCCGGTCCCGCCGTGCTGTCCGCTTGCGTAGCTGCTGCCGCCATGCCCTGCCAGCAGCGCCGTGCTGCTGTTGCTGCCCAGGGGGGGTCCGTTGTCGGTCAAGGAGGAGGAGGGCCGACCGGACCTGGAGAAAACTCGGCATGGGATCTTGAAATTGAAGGAACGAGGTCTGAGCTTGGAGATCTTCGGGGAGGCCGCGTAACATCTGAAGAATCAATTGGTGCTCTGAAACGGGGGCGTCGACGTCATCCAACCAATCCGCAATACTCCGGAGTTCTTGACAATAAGAGGCCATGGGGGTGGATCCCTTGACTGTGGTACGGAATTGGTGCTCGAGCTGCATGGCGCGAGCATGCTTGTTGTCGTGAAACAGATCATGAATCATCTTCCAGAGAGTAGAGGCGGAGGAGGCGGAGGTCAGAACCAGATCAGAGACTTCATCAGTAATAGTGGAAAGAATCCAGCCTTGGAGAATGGCGTCAAGTTGGTACCATTCATCATCATCTTTTGAGGTAGGGACAATAGATCCGTCAAGGTAGCCGTGGAGGGTGAACCGCCGGGCAAGGAGGAGGAACAAGCGGCTCCACTTCTTGTAGTTTGGTTGAGAAAAACTGAGGTTAATAGGGACATGTAATTTGACATTAGAGACAGAGAAAGCCAGATGTGGAGGTTTTTGGGTGGTAGATTGAGAGGTGACCTCGCTTTCGGCCATGGTAGAGAGAGGAGGAGTGGCCGGCCGTGAGAGAGAGAGAGAGTGGCGGTGGCGCTGGTGTCTCGGCGAGGGAGGCCGAAAGTCAGAGAGGGAAAATTAGGGTTTTTGGTTAGGCTCCGATACCATGAAGAAGAATTATTTTCATTGATTAAATTGTGTGAAGAGTACATGTATATATACAAAGGTCTCAATCCTAGTTATGGTAGGAGAGATATTCTAGGAAACATATACAAGTATGGTAACAATAATAATACAATAATATTAAATATATTTTATATATTTAACACCAACTTCTTCAATTTCCTCATCTTCTTCAACAATTGGTAACCTATATTTGTCAATTTTTCCCCCCCAATTCTATGTAAAAGTTTGTTTTTGATTCAATTTACACTTTTTTTTCCTTGATGTGTTAGTTCCAAAAATTCTAAAAATGGTTGGTGTTCTTCTTTTTGGGTTTTTTAATGTTTATATTAAATCCCTAATGAATGAGAATTGATTCAAACTAGTTTTTCTTCAATTATTGAGCAAGTTGTTGTTGAATTGGTTGAATTGTATAATTTGATTTCATAAGTAGGTTGGTATGTGGAATTCGGTTTTGTTGAAGCTATTTTAGCTGCATAAGGTAGTTAAATGAACTCCAAATTCATACGTGAATCTTTTTTGTGCATTGTGTTTGTTGATTTTAAGAATTTTGGACTTCTTAGCCCCATAAGTTAATTCATTTTTCTTAGATTCGTTATTGAGTGATTGTGTATGTTTTCATGTGCTTCTTTGTTATTTTCATTAATTTGGAGTTGTTTAAGCTCAAAAACAATTATTGATTTATTGAAAATATGTTGTGTTCATTTATGTGAATAGAAAAAACGTCATTTGTTTGAGAAGTTCATGGAAATCTGTGAAATGTGCTCTTCATTAGGAGAAAAGGTTTATTAAAATGCATAAGGTATTGGCGGTTTGTGAATAGATTATGCATGAGAGTTAGAATGAAAAAAATTCGCTCTTTTATAAACTTTTTCTATAGTAGAAGTATGTTTTCATGCTTGATTGGTGAGTTGGGGTTCTAAGGTATATTTCAAAATGGGCCTTTGAATTTCATGACTCCGGGTCGTGTGGAGAGTTGACAATCCTCCATATCGTGGTTAAGGAAATGAATCGACTCTACCTTTGATTGATTATTTTCTATTCTTAAGTGCGTAAGTTACATAATATATTGTCTACGTGCCTACTATACGTGTAATGTTCGACTTGTGTTTGTTCTCTTTTTCATTTTGTTTTGGGTTCTTGGTGGTGTTTCTTGGGTTACCTTTGTTGGAGGAGATGATTATCTTTAGAGCTTGTTTTCCCCCATTTTATCAAAAAAACCAAAAAAATAGAAAATATAAAAAACCAAAAAATATTTACTTTTTATCCAAGAACGCCCCCCCCTTTTGTTATATTGTTTTAGTTTATACTCCCTCCGTCCATGTAAGATGTTCTCAATTTGACTTTTCATGGTTTTTTAGGAGAGTTGAAAAAAGGTGAAAGTTTACCAAAATACCCTTAATGAAAATGGGTGGGGTGTATTAAATAAAGTGGAAAAGGTGTAATAAATAAAGTAAGTGGGGGTAGTTGTGGTATTTTAATTATTAAAAAAGGTAATGAGAAGATCTATGTGGGACAAATAAAAAGGGCTAATGGGAAGATCTATGGGGGACGGAGGGAGTAATATAAGTTTTTTTATAAGTTATATTATAAGTTCATTGTTTATATAAGTTACATTTATAAGTTTTTATATTAATTTAGTTATAAGTTTTATAATAAGTTTTATAAGTTCTTATCATATGTGTAGTAGTTAGTTAGTTTTGTTTAGTGACAATGTGTGTGCATCGATAAATGATTTCAAAAGTACAAACTTTCTCTGTGGGATCGACCCTTACTTGCCCTAGCTATAGTTTTTATTTGATTATATTTTGGGGGTTAGCTAAGGTTAATTTATAAATTTTTAATTTGTTTTGGACCAGATGACGGGTCTTCAACACGATGTTATTGAAAGTTTTATTTAAGATTATGAATTGGTAATCTTACATGGGTTAAGATTCAGAATTAAGATTTAACCAGCTTAATTTCATCTATTTATTAGTAATTGGATTAATTGTTAGAAAATGAATTAAGGTTTATTAATTAATAAAATTGTTTTTATTATTAATTAATCTTTGGAAATCAATCTTTTACCTTGTTTATGAGGTAATAAGATTAATCAAGTCATACGTTCCGAACACCTAAAAATAGGCAGGGTTAAAAATAGCCGTTTGGAAAGGTTCAAACTAATTAATAATGCTAAACATTTTATTAATTAAGTAATTGGAAAATAGTTCTTGCCTTCTCTACGAGGATTTAAAATTATTTAAGCCGAGCTTTTTCTAGCAGAGTACTGAGACCTAGAAATAGGAGATGTATTGGAAATATAATAATCTTATAATTTAATATTGAGACCTAGAAATCGGAGATGTATTAAATATAAGATTAGCATTTATGTTTTATATTGAGACCTAGAAATTGGAGATATATTAAACATAATTGATATACATTTTGTTAATCGAATTGCCTATTAAAGATGAGTTAAATTGTGTTAAGTCCGAGTTCCGATCCTAACTCCTGAAATTGTTTGATTAATTATTTTAATTGCTTTAATTCTTAATTTCATAACACTTTAAGAAGATTATTAGACTACAAATTAGCCTATGATAAATAATAAAACTAACTATTCCCTTCGTCACTCCTGGAGAGAACGACCCGAGTCTAACTCGGTTATTTGTTGACTTACCGCTATATGCAGTTCGTCAATCACTATGGATTTTGTGATTGGACTACCTTTATCTTCTCATAAGAACGATGCCGTTTGGGTCATTATGGACCGTCTCACAAAATCTGTGCATTTCCTACCCATCAAACAAGATATGTCACTTCAGAAGTTAGCTGAGCTTTACATACGTGAGATTGTCAGACTTCATGGCGTACTTGTATCTGTTATCTCCGACCCGGATCCTCGTTTCACTTCGAAGTTCTAGAAGGGACTTCAGTAGGCAAGGTTCTTAGATGCGGCATGTGATTCAGATACTTGAGGACATGATGAGAGCATGCGTGATTGACTTTGGAGAAAATTGGGAACCATATTTGCCCTTGATTTAGTTTGCCTACAATAATAGTTACCAAGCGAGTATTCAGATGGCCGCGTATGAGGCATTGTACGGATGGAGTAGGACTCCTGTCTGTTGGACCGAGCTAAGCGAGGCAAGTTTGGAAGGTCCCGAACTAGTATGGAAAACCGAAGAGAAGGTCAAGTTGATACGAGACCGGTTGCAGGTGGCCTCAGACCGACAGAAGTCGTATGCAGACTTGAAGCGTCTGGAAATCTCTTTCGATGTAGGGGATAAGGTTTTCCTCAAGGTTTCACCTTGGAGAAGGGTTCTTCGTTTTGGAAAGAGGGGGAAACTGAGTCCCCGTTTCATCAGACCTTATCCTGTCACGGCAAAGGTGGGCCCTGTTGCTTACCAGCTGGTGTTAGAATAAAGGACCAACGCTAGAGGGGGGGTGAATAGCGTTTGAACGTAGAAATCGCAGGAATTAAAAAATTTAAAGGAGAAGAAAAGAGAAGGGTAAGAGGCACACCGAATTTACCCTGGTTCACCACAACTTGTGGCTAATCCAGCCTTCCGAGAGACTCTCTCGAGCTACACTACTTCCGTTAAGCTTACAGGTGCTTAACAAACCGTTACAACCTGAGAACTCGAGTCCCACGAGCCTCAATACACTTGCTCGGAGATACCACACTCCAAGACTTCAACCCGAAGGAAAAAACCTTTCCTTCGTACGACCAAGGGAAACAAGCTTCCCTTAATGTGTATACAACACTAAACACTCAAGAACAAGACTCTCTTTAAGAGTAGATAATGAGTAAACTAAGTACGCTCAAGAACAACTCAAACTTCACACAAATTGGCTCTAGAAAGCTATGGAAAATGATGTTGTTTGAATGCAATGATAATATGAATAATGTGAAGTGAATTGATGAGAAAAGCATACCCAAACACCCTTTTTTATAGTGCCAAAATAGGCTCCAACGGACCAATACATTAAAGGGGTGATTGGCTTGAT